AGAGCCTTTTATATTGGGGGGTTTTTTTTTTTTTTTTAATATTTATAATTTGAACTCCTATATTGGGTATAATAGTGAATCTCCCCTTTTTTTTTATAGGCTTTTTAAAATATCCCTAAAGTTTACAAAATTATCAAATTACATCTTTTTGAAAAAAATTTTAAAAAAAATCATTCGTAGTCCTTAAGGTTAATAGGTGCACTCAGAAATAGTCCATGACGTTAAGTTCTGTCCAAAAATATGTTAAATTGATGATGTGACACACATGTGAGTCTCACATACCAATAATATGATGTCATGTGGATTAAATAAAAAAAATATTTTTAAAAATAATTTGAAAATTATAAACCATTAAAAAATTTAAAACAAAACAAAACAAAATTTAAACCCTTGCCATTGAGACCTTAGGTAACTCACCAGCTGAAGGTAGCAGTTTCCCAACTGTACCACCTTATATTTAAGACACAAATGCTTTGAAAAAAAGTGTGAAATTTCATTTAATAATTGTTCTATTTGAAGTTAATTCCTCTTGTGTTTAAATAGCAAATCATAATTAAGTTAACTTTCTGTGTTCAAGACTTCCCCATGTTGATGCTCTTTTTCGAAGAGGGTCAACTTAGAGAAAAGATAGGGGTCTGTTTTTAGCAGGAGAAGGGCCTGGGCCTTCAACAAGGGGCTAGCCTGCAGAAGACAAAATAGGAGAAGCAGTCTTCAAGCTTCAGATACCGGTGTGGTGCCGGCCGAAGGCTCTCTGATGCTTAAGTCAGCTAAGGGTGGTAACTTTAGCAAAGTAACAGAAAAAGGTAAGAAAATAGTTACATTCTTTACTAGGGTACTGTTATCTATTTATAGGGAAGTGAAACTGGGAGGTTTGTGTAGATTTTCGATGTGGGACTTTGTGCAAGTCGCTGCTATGGTGACACGTGTCATAGAAATTAGGTTTAGCAGTTTATGAGCTCTGGCAATCGGGAGTTTCAGCAGGTGCTTGGCACCTCGGAAGAGTGTCTTCCTCCAGCAGGGGAGAAGGCATGTCTGCCTTGGTGCTAGTTGTTTTGAGGCTGGATATGCTCCCAGGTTCAGTGGGAGCTGTAGGGCATTCCCTAGTCCCCCAAGTTGGCAAGCTAGAAGTTGCCTTAGTACTTGGTAGGTATGATAAAAGCTATGTTAGCCTCTGGGATATTTTGTAGTTGGGTACCTTTGAAAGAAAAGTAGACCTGGGTCTTGAAGCTTCAGCAAGTGTCTTGGGGAGCATGCGATGAGCCTTACGTTTCTTTTTGCATGACCCTTTGCAAAATTGGCTTATTTTTTTGTTTTTGTTTTTGTTTTTGTTTTTTTTTTGAAAAGCTTCCAAAGAGGAAAGAACGCTTCAAAAAGGAAGGAAAAACCCAAGAGACTTGGGTAATCCTTACCGTTCGGCAGCCAGGTTAGGGAGGTCCTGTAGGCTAGGCTTTTGAGTCCAGGTCGTGTTTGTTGGGCCTAGGCATGGCTTGTGAAGGCACAAGGCTGGGCCTTTGAGATTTCAAAGGGTTTGAAGTTGGGCTTAAGAGCCGGGCCCAACACTTTTTGGCGAAAGGAATTGTGAATATTTCTCAAGGGATTTTGAGGTTGGGCCTCTTCCAGTGTTGGCAAGGCTTGGCTTAAGTTACTAGGTTTTGTAGAATGAGGGATATAAAATAAGTTTCACTATCGCTTGTCGTTCGGCAAGAGATAGCTGGGACTTTTGTGGAGCTTAAAAAAAAAGGCTAGGCAAAAAGGCTGGTCAGCTCACGATTTCAAGGGGGTTTAGGTTTCAGAGAGTTCTGAGTTGGGGTTGGTGTTGGCAAGTTGGCTGAGATCTTGTGCGCACGGGCTGGGACTCGGGAGTTTTGGCGAGAGCTAGGCTGCTGTTGCCGTACTTGGTTTCGTTCGTCGAGGAGTCTTCCGTCATTTGTACGACCCTTGCCGAATGGTAAGGGTTGAATGAAACCTGTTGTAGTTTCTATGGTGGCCTTGGTGATTATCAAGAAAGTTGGCTGGGCTTTTTCCGGTTGGCAAGAGGCTTAGGAAACCATAGCTGCTGGAGAGCTTAGGCAAAAAACCTTAACTGTCGGGTTCGGCAAGAGTGGAGCTGGAACCGTGCAGCTGGGTTCGGCGGGAGTCTTAGCTTGATTGAGCTTGGAGTTTTGGGAAGATTTACCCAGTACCGTGGAGTTTGGACAAGGTGAAAGATTTTTGGGAAGCTTCCCGTTTGATTATGCACGGAACCTGCCGTTCGGCAGGTCCCATTCGAAAAAAAAAATTTGTCTTCAGTTTTGTTGTGTTGTGGCTGTTTGGAATTCTCGAGCACCACCCTTGAGGCAAGTGGGGGATCGGGTTCAGCACCAACCCTGTCGTTCGGCAAGGGTGTCTTGATAAATTTTTGAAGGTGCTTTCTGTTGTGCTTTGAGCCTTTTTTGCAGGTGTAGGTCGGAGCTTGAGGTCTTACTGTGGTTTCGGCAAGGGCTTAGGCAAGGTGAGAGCTGGGCCCTTGTGTGGCAGCGTCGGTGTGAGCTGGCCCTGGCCTAGTAGGCCTTGGAGCAGTCGAGCCTTGAAGTAGCTGGGCCTTGGAGTAGCCGGGCCTAAATTGGAGCTGGGCTGCAGATACGTTCGGCAGGTAGGTTGCCTTGGGGCTGGGCTCGAGGTTGTGACCTGGGGCCTTGATTTTGGTGAGCTTTTGCTGTGTCAGTAAGGCTGACCTTGCGCACGGGCTGGTCCGTGAGTCATTTGGAGCTGGGCCAATGAGTTGGGGCTGCTGGACCTTTGTTGAGCTAAGTCATTGTGAAGTTTCGTATGGCCGAGCCATTGTGAGGCTGGGCCATTCGGCAAGTAGGTACTCGGAATTTTGACGCTCCCTTTAAACTCTTTCATGGGTCTTGCCGTTCGGCAAGGCCCCCTCTAAATTCCTTCTCCGTTTGTTTTTGTTTTTTTTTGTTTTGTTTTGTTTTGTTTTTTTTTTGACTAATTTGAGATTGCAAATGTTGTGTAGGTACAAGGATTTGGCAGGGAAGGTGAAAGGGTGCTAGGATTACTTGTGTACCCTTAGGACTCTATAAATAAGAGCTTGGAGTGACGTAGGCATCACACTTGGAGATTTTTGGAGGTGGCGGTGCTAGGGCCAAGGAGATTTCCGGCGAATTTTCGTTGTGGTGTAAACAAGGTTAGACCTCATTTCCCTTGAATTTTTGAAATGAAATTCAACTTTTGGTATGAACATGTTGAATGTATGCATCTAGATAAAAAAACATGTAGATGCCGTCCAATTTTGTGTTTTTGCGTTTGGATCCTCCTTGCATGTGCATTAGTTCCTTTTTCTTGTTTCTGCATGTTGTAGATGTCTGAGAGTGAAGAGGCCAGTGAGTATGTTTGTTCTGAAGATGAGAGTTCCCAGACAGAGGGTTTGGTAGAAGGGCTTATAGAAGCTAGGATGGTAGTTCATGAGGGTGAGATGGCTGGGCCATCAGTAGAGTCTGGGTCCGAGGCATATAAGGAGATGTAGAAGAAGTATAAAGTGTTAGAAGCTAGTGTTGATCGGGTTCTAGCTTTGGCACATACACCGGAGGTGGGCTCGAGCAATCAGACATCACCATCAGGGTCTGTGGGTATAGCCGTGGCTTCAGCTTCAGAGGAGGTGGACATCCGGGTTGGTGTCTCGTTGGCGAAGCGGAATACGCTTACAGAAGTAAAGTTGACTAAGCTTCGGACAGATTATAGTGTGCGGTGGGCCTGAGGTTACCCAGTGTTGCGGATGTAGTAAGATATCCTCCGGAGGGTTCAGTTATGATTTTCACGGATATGTACCAGCATGGCCTCAGACTACCATTTCATCCTTGGGTACAGATGATGTTGGCCAAGTTGGGGTATGCGTCGGGGCAGTACAATCCCAACTTTTGGCTGCTTCTGCATGGAGTTTATGTTGCTTGGTGGTTGGTTGGGTTGGGGGAGCTAACATTTGAGCGATTTATGTACCTGTATTCGATCTCCAAGCAACAAGGAACCTTTGGCTGGGTACAAGCCAATTGCCGAAAGGCAAAGGAGAAAGGTTATTTTATTAGGTATAAGCCGAGTACGCAGAAGTCTTGGCGAAACAGATGGTGCTTAGCCTATGGTGATTGGGAGTGTCCTCCATGGAAGATCGTCTCCAGACACATTCCAACCCACTTCCAATCTATAGGTCCTTAGCCCCATCCTTTAAGACTAGTTGTTTTGTAATGTTTTTACTTGTGCTCTGACTCTTGGGTCTTCATTTTTTTTGCTTGTGCAAGTATAAATGGCTGAGTTGAATCTAAATTTTGGTGCAGGTTCCATGAAGTGGGGACCGATCTCCAAGGAGCAAGAAGACGAGGTTGAGAGAGTGAGGTCACTGTTGTCGGAGACCCAGCATGAGTGCAAAAACCTAGTCACCCAGAAGAACCTGTACGAGTCTAGAATCTTGCAAGGGAGTAAGTACCTGGGTCACTGTTGTTGTTTGTCTTATGATTCTTTTTGTAGTTGAGACTAACTTAGCTTTTGATGTGCAGTGGCAGGTATCATAAGGGGAAGCACGAAGGTGGCTATGGATCTGGATGATCCCGATATGCAAAACCGGCTGAGGGAGTCTCGGGCCAAGTGGGTGGAGAAGGGAGGTGCTCAGCAAGCGGCTGGGAAGCGTCCTAGAGATGATGAAGGCCTGTTTGCCGATGTGCTGGGAAAGAAGAGAGCACTGGAGGAAGCCCACCGGAGCGTGATGGGGACAGGGTCGAGGCTTCCTCCCTTTGACCTGCAGGCGCCGCTGAAGCTCCCCTTTGGTATGGATGATGTTTACGCCGAGGGGGTGGAGAAGGTGGACTTCTCTGGGCTGCGTCGGTAGAAGAAAGAGGTGAACCTGGCCATGCATCGGCAAGAGGTTCCTTCGGTGAACGTCTTCCTAGAAGGCGTGAAAAGTGACCCAGAGGTTCTGGCGAGGACCCCGACTACCTCTTATGCAGATCGGGCCCAGAAGACGCTCCTTACCCAAGCCTATGTAAGTTGTCCGACTTTAAGAGTTTGTTCATATCATTCGAATTTGCCCTTGATTGATCATGCTTTGTATTGCAGGCTTATGGCGAGATGTACGTGAATATGGCTAAGGCAGATAAGGAGATCCAGAGGCTAAAGAGACGTAATGAGATGGCCAAGGACAAGGTAGTGGAGGTACAGGAGGCCATCCAAGAGAAGAACACCATGGTGCTGCAGAAAGCGACGATGGCCAAGGAGATGGAAGAGCTGAAGCGGTCGAGGGTCGAGGAGATAGCTGCTGCCCGAGCTGAAGAGATCGAGTCTTTTCGAGGCTCGGAGGAGCTGAGGAGCTACATCATGGATCAGATGGTGGCAATGTAGCTGCATTGGGAGGAAAGGGTGGTGATGGTCAACCCTTCGGTGGAGATTAACTTTGACACGAGTGGCGAGCCTCCTTCATCTAGTCCTACCACTGATGCCGCTCTAGAGCCAGCCACCACGGACGCTCCATCTACCGAGTCTTGAAGGCGTTGCCTTCTTTATGTATTCTAGCTATTTAGTTTAAACACTTGATGTTTATTTTGCCTATGTGTGAACATTTTGCCTTGCCTGGGGCAAGCTTACTTTGATTTGCTATGATATTAGACTTGTTGTCATTTGATATCAATTGTGCTTAGCAAAATGAGAACCATGTGATTGATGAGAATGAGCCAGGGTCGGGTGTTCATTTAATATGTGCCGGAAGGCAAAAAGTACAAGAGTTGGTTGAGTCAAGGCTCGAGAGCAAAGTCCAAGAAAACATAATGTCCTATGGTCTAGGTATGTTTACTTATAGAAGTATTTGAGGTGATCAGCATTCGAAGGATGAGGCAAGGTCTTGCCCTTGGTATCACGAAGCTAATAAGTGCCGGGGCGGCAGACTTTGGTAACCTCATAAAGACCTTCCCATTTTGGGCCCAATGTACCTTCAGTAGGATTCTTGGTGGCCAAGGAAACCTTGCGCATGACCCAATCTCCAAGTTTGAAAGCATGGGGCTTGACTCGGGAGTCGTAGTACTTAGCGATGCACTGTTTGTACGCGACATTGCGCATGTTGGATTGGTCACGAAGCTCATCGATGAAGTCGAGGTTCAGGGCTAGCTGCTCACCATTGACTTCGGCCTCATAAGTGGAGGTTCGGTATGTGGGCTGGCCAATCTCCACTGGTGCCACTGCTTCGATACCAAAGGAGAGAGAGAAAGGTGTTTCTCCTGTTGAGGTATGGAAGGTGGTGCTGTAGGACCAGAGAACCTCTGGGAGTAGCTCTGGCAAGCAACCCTTAGCTTTGTCAAGCTTGGTTTTTAGAGTTTTCTTGATGATCTTGTTCACGGCTTCCACCTGGCCATTAGACTGAGGATGGGCTGGGGAGGCGAAGCAAAGACGTATCTTGAGGTTGGAACAAAATTGTTTGAACTTGGCATTGTCAAATTG